TACTTTCGGATTTGACATCGTACGATTTTATCACACAATTTTACAGTTTCGCAATGTAAAAATGGAAAATATTTTAAAATTTTCTAAAAATGTTTAGACATAATTGACCATAACTCTTAGGGCCAATCTTTAGGTGAAAGATTAGCGATTAAATTAAAATTAATCCTCGAAAGATGTTTTTGAGTACTCAATTAGTTGATTTTGTTTGCAAGTTTAAGCGCCCAATGGAGGTGGTTTAATCTTAAGCACGAAATGCAAAAGTGTAAACAGCTGATGCAAAAAAATTAAAAAAATGTTTATAAACATAAACATTAAAATGTTCTATTTATTGATTAGTATAAATTACATTTTTTACAGTTTTTAATTTAAGTTTCATTAATTTTCATATTAAATTTACAATTGTCTTCTTCTTTTTTATAAAATATGCATTGTTTTGATAACAAACAGTGACATTTTCTGTTGTTTTGTATGGCAACACTGCGAAGTTTAATCTTGTACTCAAAAACATCAAAGGGGATTAATTAACATAAGATTAAATTTATTTTTAGATTAACTAATCTGATTATTAATTGGCATTTGATTACCATCTCAAAAACCCGCTCTTAGACTACTCAAAGTCCAGCATAATAATTGATTTAATTTTAAAGTAGAAAATAGCGTGTGACATTTCAAAGATCTAACCCCCTAGTAATGTGAGTCTTTATGTTGTCCATGGTTTTCCAGAAGACACGATTGAAATATATTTTTCTTCAGCATATTACTTCACTGCATTCTTCATAGTGTTTTTCTTCAAAAGAACATCAAAACAATTAAATATTTTAAAAACTGGGTAATATAGCTTTGAATTAAAACAAAAATGGAAACTTACTTAAGCCAAGAAAAAAAAAAGCATTTAATTACTTAAATTTCTTTATTCAACATTATTATTATAAATTATGCTCAAAAACAAACAATTGAAATAAAACTTAAAACTTAAAGGCCGTTTTCTTTTGATAAAATATAAACCTAATAATTTCAATTATTTATTTAATTGATTATAAAATTACTAAAAATAAGAAAAAGAAAATAAATAAATATTTTTAACTAATATAATTAGCTAGAAATAATAAAAAAAGAAATACTTAAGAAAAGAAAAATTAGTTTTCTTTAATTAAAATTTATAAAAAGAAATAAAATATTTTTAAATTAAATAAACTAAAAAATACAACTTATTTCTAAAGCTAATTAACAATTTCACACAAAAAGGATTGAAAATTATTTTAAATTTATAAAAAAAAGAAATTAACAATAAAATTTTAAAGAAATTTTTGAATGTAATTTTAAAGAAATTTTTGAATGAAATTTTAATGTAAATATATTTGGCAAATGTGAGAATTAAAGTAAAATTTTTGGACTTTATTTTTATTTTAAATTACGTTAAATAAAAATTTTCAATTCTTTTTTTTTTTTAAATACATATTTTTTTAATAATGAAAAGTATGGTATGATTTTTTGTATGTTAAATAAGACTGTATATAGACTAAATAAACAATTTAATTTTTATTCGTATTTTAGATTGAATAAGAATTCTATTTTTGTGTTAAATAAAATGCTTAAATTCAACGAATATTGAGAAATAAACTTAGAATGGAAATGATATGTACAGTATGGAGTATTAAATAATCGACATAGAAACTGTATGCTACATTTTATAAATTGCAATTTTATATCTTGTTTCTATAACTTGCCATGGAAAAAAACTTAAAAATTAGAATAGTGATTAGATTTTTAAAGAGGTACAGTATGAATATCCCTTAGGGTTAATCTTTAGGTGATAGATTAGCGATTAAATTAAAATTAATCCTCGAAAGATGTTTTTGAGTACTCAATTAGGTAATTTTGTTTGCAAGTTTAGGCGCCCAATGGAGGTGGTTTAAACTTAAGTAAACAGCTGATGCAAAGAAATTAATACAATTTTTATAAATATAAACATTAAAATGTTCTGTTTATTGATTAGTATAAATTATGGACACTTCAAAATACATTTTTTTGTTTTTAATTTAAGTTTTCATTAATTTTCATATTAAATTTACAATTGTCTTTTTCTTTTTTATAAAACATGGATTGTTTTGATAACAAACAGTGACGTTGTCTGTTGTTTTGTATGGCAACACTGCGAAGTTTAATCTTGTACTCAAAAACATCAAAGGGGATTAACATAAGATTAAATTTATTTTTAGATTAACTAATCTGATTATTAATTTGCATTTGATTGCCATCTCAAAAACCCGCTCTTAAAAATTGTATATTTTTATAAAAATTTTAATGATGAATTTCGATAACTAATCCGCTTTAAATTATTTCGGTTATAATTCAATTTTACAATATTTATTTCAAATTAAAGCCTTTAATGTCATTAATTAAACGTTAACAATTCCATCAGAAGCTCATTAAAAAATTGTGATTTTAATGTTTTATATTTGAATTAGAGCAAGTTTTCAGGTTAACGTTTCGTTTAATAAAATTAAACAAACTTGTTTTTATTGAGTACATCATTAGTTAGTTTATGCGGCCAATAAAGGTGGATTAGACTTGGGCAAGAAAAGATGGGATTAGCTGCTATGAAAACATGAATACTATTTTTATTAAAATAGTCATAAAATAATTTTTTATTTCTTGATTTAATTATCCAATATATTTTCATGTCACACTCATAGCTGTCTTCTTCTTTTTTATAAAACATCCTTTGTATTGATAGCAAATAGTGATATTTTCTATGTATGGCAATACTAGTACTCTCAAAAACAGAGAAGAGGATTAATATAAGATTAAATTTATTTTTAGATTAACTTGGCGATCATTCTTCAACAAAAAAACTGCCCTTAGGAAGAAAAGGCATTAATACGTTTTTAAATTTTTCAATACTTCATTGCCATATTTGTTTAGGTCCTCTTAAATGAGCCATATTTTGTTTTAGACTTTTGGGTATTTGTACCCTACCCACTATAGTGGGGAACTTATTATTATTATGCGATTGTCCTGATGTTTGTAATACCTAAAAATAGTGGTCACCCACCTTAAAGTATACCTAACAGCTCAGAATCACTTTCCGACTTGATTTAGTTATGTCCGTGCGTCTGTGTTTCCAGGTAAACCTTGTGCGCACGCTACAGGTCGCAATTATCAAGATCATTTGATAAAATGTGGCACCAAGGATGAAGACTATTAATAATGGTTAAATTATTGCTATGTTATATGTATTAGAGTTAGGGTTCTATAGTTGAAACGAAAAGTCGACTTTTCGACTTTTTGCATTTAGTTAAAAGTCGACTTTTCGACCTTTCGACTTTTTCCATTTTATGAAAAGTCGATTTTTCGACTTTTCGACCTTTTTCATTTATTTAAAAGTCGACTTTTAGACTTTTAGTATTTTATAACTTTTCGACTTTTTCCGACTTTTCGACTTTTCGACTTTTTTCGACTTTTCGACTTTTTTCGACTTTTTCCGACTTTTCGACTTTTTAATTTTTACGACTTTTTGACTATTTTCGATTTATTTCGACTTTTTTTTCGACTATTTTCGACAATTTTTTTACTATTTTCGAGTTTTTCCGACTATTTTAGAGTTTTTGACCTCTTTTCCACTTTTTTAAAATTTTCGACTCTTTTCGACTTTTTTCGACTTTTCGACTTTTTCCGACTTTTCGACTTTTTCCGACTTTTCGACTTTTTCCGACTTTTCGACTTTTCGACTTTTTTCGACTTTCTTCGACTTTTTTCGACTTTTCGACTTTTTTCGACTTTCCGATTTTTTGACTTTTCGACTTTTATTTACAAAGTCGACTTTTCGACTTTTTTCATAGACTTTGTAGTTATCGACTTTTTTGGAACAAAATAGTCGACTTCGACTTTTCGACTTTTTTCGACAAAAAGTCGATTGTTCGATTATTCGAAAGTCGATTTATAGAACCCTAATTAGAGTCTTCCACTTTTTGATAGAGTGATTCAAATAATTTTTAAACTGAACATTAAAATTAAACAAAACATATTTGATTTGCGCGTGTTCACCCCGTTTTAAACAAGTCGATTATAAAATGTTGGACATTTTTTTTCAATTCGAAATTTACAGAAAGCCGGTATTGGTAAACATAATGATTTCCTTTATGGAAAACGGAAATAAGATAAACAATGTAATAGTATTATTACTACAGCAAAAATTATATTTATTTTTGATCAGTGCTGCCACCTCTTTTCCGTTAAACATACTACATACATACTTTGACTTTTGTCCATGACAGCTCTTCAGTTTGTTTTTGACTTCCCTCCAATTTTGTAACAATTTCGGTCCTCTAATAATAACTTTTATTAAAATAATTAAAAAAAATATAATCACTATGTATTAATTAAATGATAGCAAAAGCTTTTAAAGTGTATTTAACAAAGAAATGTGTAATTTTTTACAAAATGCCTATAAGAATGTTGTAGGAGGCTAGTGAAAGTGAAGTGCATAATAAATAAAGAAAATGCATATGTACATATGTAACAAATAAATATTTAACAAATGCAAAACATGTGCTGCTCGGAACCAACATTTTACCACAGGTAGGTGCACAAGTTATTGTTCAAACGTAATTGTTTTAGAGTCCATAAACAACACCAGCATGCTGGTACAATAATTTAATTGTGAATTCATGCTCGAAACATACATACATACATATGTATGTATGTATGTATAACACACCAGCTTGCCTGTACAATATTCATTTTATCAGAAAGTGTGTGAAGTCGTTGCGAATAATACAAATATTTGCAAAGAACTGAGCTATTTTGTTTACCGAGAGCATGAAACCGACCCGAAGGCATATAACAATTACATTTCTTTCTCTTGGATTTCATACATTATTGTATGAGCAACATCACTTGGTGTTGTGAATGGGCCCCTTTACAATCTACATAAAAACTTGTCAATAATACAGCCCTAAATTTTTAATATACCCCAATAAATAAATTAATAACACCACTGTCTTGTATAGTTAGTTTTATTATATTTCAAACGTCATTTCTTATAATTCGTATAAAATAACATTTACTACGAATAAAATCTATAGTCAAAGTTTTGCAAAGGCATGCGTCAACACACGAGAAAACAAAATAACAAAAAGGTACTTAAAACTAAAAAGTATGGAACAGTCTGGAATTCATGAAAGTTTATGTTTAAATAATAATGAATATGATAAAGTTAATTAATAAATCCAATATGGATTCTTAAAATTAACTTATTTAGTATCTTCTTGGTCTCCACCAGAACCATTAGCGGCATCTGTAACCTTTTCTTGGCTATTTTGTTTGACGTTCAAATGAGCCGGACCAGTTTGCTGTATTTGTATGATACGTTCGTTAGTTTTTTCCTCTTCCACTGGCTTGGGAACACTAACTGTCAAAACACCATCTGATGATAGAGTTGAAACTACTTTATCAGCATCGTAGCCCTTGGGTAAAACATAACGGCGTACAAAGTGTCGCTGTATGAAACCATGTTGATCTTCTCGTTCTTCATGTTTGCCCTCAACAACTACGCAGTTATCCACTACTTTGACTTTTAGTTCGCTTGGTTTAAATTGGGCTACATCCATGCAAACTTGGAAACCATCTTTGCCTACGGGTGAAACACGAGATTCCTTCTTATCTCCACCAGCTGCTCGGCGTAAAGCTTGTTGTTCACTGATGCGATTAAGCAAAGCCAAGGGTAGAGTGTAACCCGCTACGGTAGGTTGTCTGGATTCACGTTGTGGTGAGTGCTGATGGATGAGATAGGGTGAAACGCCTAAACCAAAATCATTGCCATAATAAGAGGGATTGGATTCACGGTCCAATTCATCGATGAGACTCAATAATAGTGGTAAAGTTGCCATTTTATAATTGTTCTTTAAAGGTTTCTTCAAATGCTAAATTAGTTTTACTTTGGTTTCAACGAAAAGCACTTTATCTTATGTGGTCTGTTTTTCAAACTGTTTTGTAAATTCTTAGCTCTCCTCTCGTTTTGTTAGCACTTTTTGCAATAATTTTTTGAACTGATAACGCTTGTTGTGTTTTTCCGGCCTTTTATACCAAAAGCAAGTTGTTCAAAATTTTCGAGTATTTTCTCAAAACTGCTTAATTAATCTCTCTTTAACATTGTTTTTTTATTTTTTTCTGCTCTCATCAGTTTTATGAGTGCTTTTTTACTCTCTTAGAAATGTTGTGAGAAATTTTACAAATTTACTCTTTTGAAATTTCTAGAAAAAGTTTGATATACTCTTCAAAATGTGTATTTTTTGTTGAAAGTGATTCATATTTTATTGTTAGGGTGGCGCTATTTTTGAATACTACTCGTGGTCTCGAAACATACAATCAAGTTTTTTGTGTTTTATGATTTTAAAAAATTTATTCTATTTCAGTTCTAGTTCAGTTCTAGTTTAGTTCTAGTTCAGTTCTAGGTCAGTTCTAGTTCTAGTTCAGTTCTAGTTCAGTTCTAGTTCAGTTCTAGTTCAGTTCTAGTTCAGTTCTAGTTCAGTTCTAGTTCAGTTCTAGTTCAGTTCTAGTTCAGTTCTAGTTCAGTTCTAGTTCAGTTCTAGTTCAGTTCTAGTTCAGTTCTAGTTCAGTTCTAGTTCAGTTCTAGTTCAGTTCTAGTTCAGTTCTAGTTAGTTCTAGTTCAGTTCTAGTTCAGTTCTAGTTCAGTTCTAGTTCAGTTCTCGTTCAGTTCTAGTTCAGTTCTAGTTCAGTTCTAGTTCAGTTCTAGTTTAGTTCTAGTTTAGTTCTAGTTTATTTCTAGTTCAGTTCCAGTTCAGTTCCAGTTCCGTTCTAGTTTAGTTCTAGTTCAATTCTAGTTTAGTTCTAGTTCATTTCTAATTCAGTTCTAGTTCAGTTTTACATAGTTCAGTTCTAGTTCTAGTTCAGATTAGATATTTTATTTTGAAAACAAATTTCAGTTATTCGATTTGTTAGGGCCCTCCTAATTACGAAGAGATTAAAATCATGTGCAAAATATTGTACGAGAAAGATATAGTAACTACAACAACACCAAATTGCGCAGAATTTTCTCTTGAATATTAAATTAAAACAGAAGCCTGTAAAAACTTTGAGAGAAACTACTCGAATATTATTTTGAAAACCACTCAAAGAACCTCCCTTTTTTTAAGAGAATACTTAACAATCAATATTTAAGAGAGACAAATTAAAACTTTTCGAGAATTTACTCGAAAAAAATCTTAACAAATTTTCTGTTATAAAAGCCGGCAAAACATAGCAAGCGGCATTAGTTCATCAAATATTTGCGAAAAGTGCAGATAAAGCGTGAAAATATAGTTGAAATATTCAATAAAGGCTTTTTTTTAAGTGGAACCAAAGCAATTCTTAAATAAAACCAAACGTTTAAAGAAGTATTAATAAAAAGAAAATGGCAAATTTACCACTATTGTTGAGTCTCATTGATGAATTGGATCGTGAAGCCTATCCATCTTACTATGGAAACGATTTTGGTCTGGGTGTTTCCCCTTATCTCATCCATCGTCATGCACAACATCGTGAGCCCAGACAGCCCTCAGTAACAGGCTATACACTACCATTGGCTCTGCTTAATCGTATCAGTGAACAACAAGCTGCACGCCGTGCAACTGGTGGCGAATCTAAGGAATCTCGTTTGTCACCCATAGGCAAAGATGGTTTTCAAGTTTGTATGGATGTGGCTCAATTTAAGCCTAGCGAACTAAATGTCAAAGTTGTGGACAATTCTATTGTCATTGAAGGCAAACATGAAGAACGTGAAGATCAACATGGCTTCATACAGCGTCATTTTGTGCGCCGTTATGTTTTGCCTAAGGGCTATGATGCGGACAAAGTGGTATCCACTCTCTCGTCGGATGGTGTTTTGACTGTTAGTGTACCGAAACCAGTGGAGGAAGAAAAATCTAATGAACGCATTATACAGATTCAACAAACTGGTCCGGCTCACTTGAATGTCAAGCAAAATTCGGAAGACAAGGTTACGGATGCTGCCAATGGTTCGGGTGGTGATCAAGAGGATTCTAAATAAATGAATGATTGCATTTATTATAAGAGAGTATTCACTTCATCATATTCATTATTTATATGCATTCATACATTCATGTATTCCGGACTATTCCATAATTTTTAAGTTTTTAGTATTAGTTATTTTTCTATAAATCACTGTTGTGATACGATGCCATTTTGGTTGAAACCTAAATTTAGAATATTCGTAGTTATATGTTTTACGAATTAAAAAGCAATGATTCCAAATAAAAGATAAACATAAATACCAAAAAAATACGTTTGAGATTTATTTGCATATTGTGTTCTACACGAATTTATTGGGGAGAGAGGTGTTTGCTGAGCTAATGCAGTGCAGATAAGGAAACAAGTTTCATTTTTTTTATAACAAAACGTTCTTATAATAAAAAACTGATTTTCCTATGGAATTTTCGAATAAAAATTTAAAAACAAGAAAATATAACACATTTCGAATCACCCTGTATTTCAAACATCTGTTTGTTATTAGTTCTGCGTGACTGTCAATAACAACATAAATAAACATTTTGAGGTAAATAAACGTTTTCCGTTTTCTAATAAATACATTTTTTATTAGAAAAATGTCGCTTTTTCCGGCTTATTCCAAAGAAAATAAAACAAAAGATGAAGAGGTTTTACCAACAACATCCTCAGCAGCAACGAATGAAGAAAAGATCTGGTTGGAAAATAATAGCTTTGCTATAAAAACCCACGACTTGACAGCAATACAATGTAAGACATCTTTAGTGGGACAAGAGAATTCCGATGATTCCTCCCACAGCTCCAGCAGCAGTGTAGATTTGGATAGTGATAAAAACAATTCTTTGTCTTCTAATGAAGAGGCTGAAAGTAAACGTAAAAGATTAAAGAAATCCAAAAAGAAAAACAAACATAAAAAGTCAAAGAATTCCAGTAATGAAACGGTAGAACCCATTTTAGATTTTACTGGACAGGAGGAGTTTTATGTTGATAAGAATAAAGCAAAACAGTATAATACTATAAGAACTTTACACAAACCGGCTTGTCCCAGGTATCGTGTTTTCTATTACACATTGGGTAGAAGTCATTACAATAGTGAGAAATCTAAAACGAAACGTTATTATCGCTTTCGTGAAGAAGCTGGTGAGGTGCAACATAACTTCTATGCTTTGGAGGAGAATGAATACACTTTAAAACTTGGCGAACTGAATCGCAAAACGGTGGAAAATTGTCAAGATTTAAAAAGTTGGCTGGAGTTAATTGCCCTGCAGGATAGAAATCCCTACAAATGGTCTCGTTTGAGAGTGGCCGAAAAGAAAATAGATTATGTACAAAAAGCCTTGATATATCTGCCCAATCAAGAGGAACTGTATAAAGTGTATATAAGTATTATAACTCAAGCCTATACTTCTCATGATGTTAGCAAAATGTTGGAGCCTTTGCTAGCCAAAGATCCCTACAGTTTGATTTTATGGCAGGCTTTAATAATGTGCACTCAAGGTACTATGGCGCGTTGCAATGTACCCGATGTTTTGCTTATCTATGAAAGATGCATGAAGAAAATGTTTCACAACCATAAACAAACTTTAAATCCGCAAGTTAGCGATAAGATTATGTTGGAATTATTTTACAATTGTGCTTTGTTTTTGCGACAAGCGGGTTTATATGAGCAATTTTTTGCTCTTATTAAATTGGCTATAGAGCTCAATGTAGCGGTAAGCTCCAAGTTTTTAGAGGATCTACAGCCTCGAGCACAAGATGAGCAAACGTTGTTGGAATATGAAGAGATTATCTTGCAGTCTGGTTTGCCTATGAACGAAATCTGGTTGAGAATAGAGAAACTGAGACAGGGTTTCAATTTCCTGCCATATCCGGGAGATAATAACAAATGCAGTGATCCTCAGCGTATAGTATTCAATGAAGATATTTGCCATTATGTGTATCCTTTAAAATCGCAAGAAAACTCTTTTAAATTATTATTAATAATTTTAAAATTACTAAAATTACCCTTCATCAGCAGTCATATATTGGCATCACAGCTCCAGGGTGACACAGATGCCATAGAAGATCAATTGGCTATTTATACAAATCCCCACTATATTTGCTCTTGGGATCATGAGGAATTTTTCTCCAGCCTATTTGAGTTAAGCAAAGAAATGGTTAACACTCCCACCTACATCACTAGCAGTATAGCTCATGAACAGTATGCCCAGTGTTTGAAAAGCCTATTGCTTAATTGTGCCCAATCTTATGAACAAATTGACGAAATTAAACGGTTAATATTCCTGCAACTATGGTGTCGTTTTGAACGTTTTCTTTTAAAATTAGAAAAATTAAATAAGAAAATTTCGGAGGAATTTATACAACAGGCGCGCAGACGTTTTAAAACTCTACTTAAACAACGCCAGAACCGTAATTGTCTTCAACTGTATGTAGAATTTGCTTTATATGAGTATGAAGCTGAGGCTTCACAGGAAACTATAGAGAATATATTTAAAAATCTTCTAGAAGCCTATAATAAAGAAGAAAATCTACATTCCGAATTGGCCTATGTGTACCTGACCTATGCAGAAATTTTACTTAAGTGGGGACAATATGAAAAGGCTTCTAAATTGCTATCCCTATATGCCCTTAAACTAGACTTTTCCCAGCTGGAGAGTATAACAAATGCTAAAAAACTTTTAGCCGTAACTAAACTAAAGGAAAAATTAGATCTCACCATTAAGGTAGAACAAAATGTAGAAATAATGCTTTTGGAGCAGCATTTTATGAATGATTATACTTTAAGCCAAATAAATATTTATTGTTTACTCTGCTATACGGTGCAGCAAAAGCTACAGGCTTTAGAATATTTACAAAAGTTATTGGAAATCTTTAAAACCCAAAGTAATCAACGTCATGCATATCTGAGAGAGCATATTTACGAAATTTACATAATGTTACTACAACTACCCAAGGGCAATAGTTATGTTTCTCATAAGTTAATACAACAATCTATCTTTAACGGCCTTCAAGAATATCCCCATAATTTGTATTTATTACAAAAATGGGGCTGCCAACAGTCTATGCCCTGGTATAAATTAAGAGCTGGTTATATAAAATTAAATCCCTCCATTAAATCCGTAATTTATATAATAGCCTTGGCTCGCTGTCGTTTTATTAAGACACTGGCTAATGATACACCATTAGGACTGCCTTCATTTGCCAATAACGATCTACATTATCATGAGCTCTTAGTGCGTCAACGTATTTTAAATCTTTTTAAAATTTTAATACCCAGCGATTTAACACAAAATTCATCCTCCCCTTCATTGAGTTTATATTCTTCTTTGCAACGCAATTCTCTATTTTGGCGTTGTTATCTAAGCTGTTTATCCGATCAGAATTGTTCATTTGATTTAAGTAAAAAATGTTTACTTACCGCCTTGGATGAGTGCCCCTGGAGTAAGGCTTTATATTTGGATGGTGCTACATATGTACCACAGGAGCTGTCACATTTGCAGGATTTAATAATTGAGAAACAATTGAGAATCTATGCTTTGCCCGAAGAATTGGAGATTTTAAGGGAACGTTAATAGTTAAGTGTTTAGTTTTAGTTTAGTTTTAAAATGAGAATGAATACAATGTATAAATGTATTAAATAAATTTGTATTATTTTTTAATAAAAATGTAACTAATTTAGTCGGTTGTAGCTGAAATATGACGTATTAAATATATTTCAATAAAAAATTGTAAACATTTTTATATATCTTTCCATTTTCTATGTTCTGAAATCAAGACTATTGAAGAATGTCCCGTTAACCAGAACTTCTATAACTCCATACAACATTTTATTGCTTTTTCGAAACTGAATGAAAAAAAATTGAATACAATCCAAATATATAGCAAACATTTTAAATTTAAACCCTGGTAATTGCATATTTACCATCGCTATTTACAACAGTGTGTAGTGCAAAGAAAGAATGAAACCATATGATTATAAATACGATTTCAGTGAACCACAGACAATACATGAATAAAAGAAAATAGCACACGCAAAAGTTACACGTCTGGCCGGCACTTGAAACAAACCTTTTCCTGCAGTTCGGGGTGACTAAATCGGTATTAAAATTTTAGTTTTTAATTAAATCTAAGAATTCAAAAATTTTTTTACTATAGACCTGAACATTCTATAGTGTTGTCTACAGTCCATAGTCTTGACTATAGAATAATCTATAGTCTTGGGTATACAATAGTCTATAGTCTTGATTATAGAATTGTCTATAGTCTTGACTATAAAACACTCCATAGTTTGACTATAGAACAGCCAATAATCTTGACTATAGAACAGACCATAATCTTGACTATGGAATAGTCTAAAGTCTTGAATATAGAATAGTCTATAGTCTTGTCTATAGAATAGTCTATAGTCTTGACTATAGAATAGTCAAAAGTTTTGACTATAGAATAGTCTATAGTCTTGATTATAGAATTGTCTATAGTCTTGACCATAATTTGACTATAGAACAGTCTGTAGTCTTGACTATAGAACAGTCTATAGTATTGACTATAAAACAGTCTATAGTCTTGACTATAGAATAGTCAAAAGTCTTGACTATAGAATAGTCTATTGTCTTGACTATAGAATAGTCTATAGTCTTGATTATAGAATAGTCTATTGTCTTGACTATAGAATAGTGTATAGTCTTGATTATAGAATAGTCTATAGTATTGACTATAGAATAGTCTATAGTCTTGACTATAGAATAGTCTCTGCGAAGAACCGTCTAAGTCTTAAACAATGTCTGTCTTTTCTCTAGCCTTGAATGTAGACATTTCTATAGGCTTGACTTTTGTCTATAGTCTTGACTATAGACCAGTCTATATTCTTGCCTATATACTAATCTATAGTATTAACTACATAGAGGTCTATAATCTTTGCTAGAATCACCAAGTGCAAAGGCTATTGAATTTGATAAAAATCGGTTCATAGCGTTTATAATCTGTATTTAGTTCTATCAAAATATGGGGAAATTTCGATTTATAAAATTTTATGGATAATTAGAGAGACCCAAATAATAAATTTGATTTCAAGTTACTTAGACATTTGGGAAAAAGAACAGTCTATAGTCTTGACTATAGAACAGTCTATAGTCTTGACTATGGAGCAGTTTATAGTCTTGACTATAGAACAGTCTATATATAGTCTTGACTATAGAACAGTCTATAGTCTTGACTATAAAACAGTCTATAGTCTTGACTATATAACAGTCTATAGTCTTGACTATAGAATAGTCAAAAGTCTTGACTATAGAATGGTCAAAAGTCTTGACTATAGAGTAGTCTATAGTCTTGACTATAGAATAGTCTTTAGTCCTGACTATAGAATAGTCTATAGTCTTGACTATAGAATAGTCTATAGTCTTGACTATAGAGCAGTCTATGCGAAGAACCGTCTAAGTCTTAAACAATGGTCTGTCTTTTTTCTAACCTTGAATGTAGACATTTCTATAGGCTTGACTATTGTCTATAGTCTTGTCTATAGACCAGTCTATATTCTTGCCTATATACTAATCTATAGTATTAACTACATAGCGGTCTATAATCTTTGCTAGAATCACCAAGTGCAAAGGCTATTGAATTTGGTAAAAATCGATTCATAGCGTTTTTCATCTCTATTTATGGGATAATTTGGATTTATAAAATTTTATGGATAATTAGAGAGACACAAATAATAAATTTGATTTCTAGTTACTTAGACATTTTGAAAAATAGGAATTGAAAAACTGCCGGGTATGTTTTTCTTAGACACATACATACATATGTATACAATTACAATTTGTTCTTATTGTGACAAATAGCACGATGAACTTTATATACTTTTAACATAACCGGTAGATAAATTTATTGCAGTTTTTTACATTCCCTTGAAATCCACTAATTTCAGTACTTAAGAGCAAAATATTTCAAAAGTTTTCTCGAAAATTCTTGCAAAGAGTGAAAAAAACTCGAAACTTCCTTAAAATTCCACACATTTTCTCTTAAACTTTAAGTTGAGTATAAAAGCGTATGAGCTTTTGGCGTTCTCTTCATTTGAGTGTAAAAAGCAAACGAGTTTGGTTGTTAAAAGTGCAGGAAAGAAAATAGAGCGCTTGATTGCATTTTTTATTACATTTTAATTTAAAGAAGAAAAAAGAAGTTGAAAAAAATAAAGTGAAAATGTCTTTGGTGCCCTTATTGGTAAATTTAGCTCGTGGTATGGATGCTGATTATCATCATGGTCTGGTGGATGATTGGGATCGAATGCTAGACGATGATTTTGGTTTTGGCATAAATCCTGTCGACATATTCCGTCCACGTTTGGCTTCAGCTACGGGTCACCATCATCATCATTTGCTGCCTAGACGCTCTTCATTGTATGCGCCATATTTGTTGGGTAGACGCCAACGTCAGCAACGTGAAAGAAGTGATTCAACATCTGGTAGCACTGCTCTAATGCCAACCATTGGCAAAGATGGTTTCCAAGTGTGTATGGATGTTTCACAATTCAAGCCCAGTGAGTTGACTGTAAAAACGGTAGACAACACTGTTATTGTAGAAGGCAAACATGAGGAACGTGAGGATGAACATGGCCTTATACAACGTCATTTTGTTCGCAAATATACACTGCCCAAAGATTATGATGCTAAAGATGTCGTCTCGACTATTTCTTCGGATGGTGTGCTTACTGTTAAAGCTCCTCCACCACCCAATAAATCCATTGCTGGCAATGAACGTATCGTTCAAATACAACAAACTGGCCCGGCTCATTTGAATGTCAAGCAACCGGAGCAGGTTCAAGCCACTAAACTGCAGCAGGCTCAGTCTAATGGTGCTGCAACTGGGGAAAAAGCTGAAGCTGCCAAATAAAAAGAAAAATTATTTGAATTAAAACCTATTTTTAAGTGATTTTTTATCTATTCCATTTATTTTGTCATGGTAGATGTAGAGTGTGTACTTAGTATGTAGTTGCTCATGGATTTCTTTTTTATTTTATTAATATTTATCTTATTACATTTTGTGTTTAAGTTTTTTTTCCTTTATGTTTCGTTCTAACTTATGCTACTGTGTAGTTTTAAGCAACTGATATGTGTACTGGATTATAAACAGAAACATCCCATATTAAAAATAAACTTTTTTTTCTATATTTATAAAATTTGCATTGGTTTTAATCAATTTAAGCTTTTTAATAGAACTTTTCCAAGATTGTATGTGTGGGGTCTTCCGGTCATTACCTATGTTTGTTTTGAGTTTGTAAAGACGCATTTGAAATATGTTGTTACGCCCTTTTGCATTTCAGGTGACGATATTTAATTATTTTGTGTTAGCTGAACCCGGTCCGCTTATTGGGCCTAAATTTGTCTTATTGCACTTTTCACGTAACGATATAAATACCTCTTAAATGTTAACATAATTGGATTGGCAGATTAGGTACAATTAACAACAGGTATAGATAGAATAGATAGATAGATAGATAGATAGATAGATAGATAGATAGATAGATAGATAGATAGATAGATAGATAGATAGATAGATAGATAGATAGATAGATAGATAGATAGATAGATAGATAGATAGATAGATAGATAGATAGATAGATAGATAGATAGATAGATAGATAGATAGATAGATAGATAGATAGATAGATAGATAGATAGATAGATAGATAGATAGATATATAGATATAGATAGATAGATAGATAGATAGATAGATAGATAGATAGATAGATAGATAGATAGATAGATAGATAGATAGATAGATAGATAGATAGATAGATAGATAGATAGATAGATAGATAGATAGATAGATAGATAGATAGATAGATAGATAGATAGATAGATAGATAGATAGATAGATAGATAGATAGATAGATAGATAGATAGATAGATAGATAGATAGATAGATAGATAGATAGATAGATAGATAGATAGATAGATAGATAGATAGATAGATAGATAGATAGATAGATAGATAGATAGATAGATAGATAGATAGATAGATAGATAGATAGATAGATAGATAGATAGATAGATAGATAGATAGATAGATAGATAGATAGATAGATAGATAGATAGATAGATAGATAGATAGATAGATAGATAGATAGATAGATAGATAGATAGATAGATAGATAGATAGATAGATAGATAGATAGATAGATAGATAGATAGATAGATAGATAGATAGATAGATAGATAGATAGATAGATAGATAGATAGATAGATAGATAGATAGATAGATAGATAGATAGATAGATAGATAGATAGATAGATAGATAGATAGATAGATAGATAGATAGATAGATAGATAGATAGATAGATAGATAGATAGATAGATAGATAGATAGATAGATAGATAGATAGATAGATAGATAGATAGATAGATAGATAGATAGATAGATAGATAGATAGATAGATAGATAGATAGATAGATAGATAGATAGATAGATAGATAGATAGATAGATAGATAGATAGATAGATAGATAGATAGATAGATAGATAGATAGATAGATAGATAGATAGATAGATAGATAGATAGATAGATAGATAGATAGATAGATAGATAGATAGATAGATAGATAGATAGACAGATAGATAGATAGATAGATAGATAGAAGATAGATAGATAGATAGATAGATAGATAGATAGATAGATAGGATAGATAGATAGACAGAT